GCCTCCGCAGAACCTCGTCACCCAGGTAACCTGGTCGACCGAGCAACCAGGTCGACCAGATGCTCCTGTGCGTGCCCGTCGACCACGCAGGTCGACGACCACTTCCAATCGACCTCACCAGGTCGACCACTGCCTCTGGTATGTGCCGGTCGACCTCCCAAGTCGACGGCCACCTCCAGTCGACCTCCCCAGGTCGACCACTGTCAAACATTATACATGTTGTATTTGTGTAGGCTGTAGTGGGTTAGCCTATAGGGGGGTCACAACATTAGGGTTTCATATTTGTACTCACAATCCTTGCTAGTCCATCATTCCAGTCCGTTATTTCTGACATGGTTTCAGAGCAGGTCCTTCGCTAGGACCGTTCTTAGGGCCCACCGTTACCTACATACCTACCTACCTACCGTGCGCCTCGTGCGCCTACGCGCCCTCGTGCGCCTCCTACCTACCGCGCGCGCGCAGCCCGCCAGCCGCCCGCGCGCGACTCGACCTTTTTTTTTTAGCGCGCGTATCCCGCTAGCCGCCCGCGCGCGGTCGATTTCGCTGCGCGCGCCCCGCTAGCCGCACGCGCGCGGCTGTTTTCTTTACGCGCGGCCCCGCACGCTGCCCGCGCGCTGCCTGTGCGCCTCGCTGACGCGCCCGCTGCTGCAGCCGCCCGCTCGCGCACACCCCGCCGTGGCCCCGCAGGCCCGCAGCTCGCCGCCGCAGCTGCCGCACGCCCGTTGCCCGCAGCCGCCCGTCCGCCGACGCCGCTGCCGCCCGTGCACCGACGCCGCTGCCACCCGTGCGCTGCTGCCGCTGCTGCTTGCGCACCGCTCGCTGCTGCAGCCGCCCGTGCGCTGTCGGCGCTGCTGCCCGTGCGTATAAGCCGCTGCCGCCTGTGCGCATCTGCAGCCGCCGCCCGCGAGTCGCCCGCTACCGCTAGTGCGCCGCAGCTCCTGCCCTTCGGTCGCGCACCGCTGCAGCTCCTGCTGTCGCGCTCCCTACTACTGCCGCTCGTGCACCACGCCGGCCCCGTTGACCCTGCGCACACCTTTCCAACGGCCTTGTCCCTACTGCTACTACTGCTACCCCCTGGTCGACCAGCTCCAAGTCGACGTCACTCCAGGTCGACCAGAAGGTCTGGTCGACTTCCCAGGTCGACCAGAAGGGCTGGTCGACTTACCAGGTCGACCAAAAGGTCTGGTCGACTTCCCAGGTTTCCTGCTCGCCCATCCTCAAATGCATCATGTGCTCCTCCAGCAGGCTGATGTACAGGTCGTCGGTGACCTGGTACGTCGACGTGATGAACTGCCATGCCTGGTGGCTAGCGTCCAAGAAGCTTCTGCTCGACTTTAAGGTGATCTGCACCACCGGCGAGCAGCACCGCGAGATGACCATGAAGATCATCAGGTGAACGGTGTAGAACTCTGCACGCAGCTCGGCGTTGGAATCCAACTGCGTCTCCACACTGCCCTCAGCAAAGCAGATCATGCCGACCATATCTAGCTGGGGCTCGATGGCCTCCTTCCAGGTGAGGAGGCCATGTTGACGTACCAGCGGCACGGGGACGGCGATCTTCTCCAGCGTGAACTTGAAGTACCTGTACGTCGGCGTTTTCCCACCCACTGTCACATGGATCGCCGACGCCGGAGCCACACTGCTTCGACGTCCTTGGACGTCGCCTTGTGAGGAGCTTGCAGCCGCAGACGACTGCATTCCTCGAGCGTGAACGCCACCGACATCACCGGCGTGTATCACTCCTCTCTGCTTCGACGTGCCTCCCGCACTGCTACCGAAGGGTGTTCCGTCGCCCACTTTGCGCAGATGCCCAACTCGACGACCTCCTGCCGTACTCGCTTTCCTCGTGGCGTCTCCTCGCATCAGCCAGCCGTGTCTCTAGGGTATCTACTACGCTCGCATCACCGACGGAGCCAAGCATGGTGACTAACATTGCTGCCGGCCTAAGAACACGATAGCTAGTGCGCACCTCAGTCGACTAGACTAAAGGTAATTTGCGGTGCTTTCCACGCTCACCGCACCATGCGGAGATAACAAAAACAACGGGAGGGTGATCCATGAGGGACTAGTCTATGGGGTAGGTACGGTTGTGAGGGTGATTTGTGCGTTCCTTAATCGTTTGCTTGTGTTCACTCTTCTTGCTCGTTCACGGGGGAAATTAGCAAGAGTTCTACTAGTAATGATTGATAACAATGGTAGCAACAACATTGGCAAGGTAGACTACATCAGGATGCTATTCTGCCTAGCATGTAAGCTGGTCGACTGTCAGCGCAGCACGGTGGACTGCATTCCAGCAAAGCAAGGTCGACTGCGCTCCAGCAGTGCAAAGTGGCGGTCTGCCAACACTGCGAGTCAATGGCGTTCCAATGCTGCAGCAAGGCGACTGCATATCGTTGCACCCGCATGATATTAGCGCACCCACTTCGCAGGTGCTCGCAGTTGGTTGGCATGCTCTGCCCCGTCACGTGCACAGCGCAGACGCCATGCTGACCACATGCCCACGATTGCACCTGATCCTCCACGTCGACCTCGGGATATCACACCGAGGTTGGTCTCGCCAGAACCACCTGGGCATTCCGCCATGGCCGCCTGGCAACAGCCTGGTACTCGCATTACGTGAAGCCTACCCGCCTGATGGCTTTAATTTCTCCAGTTTCGGATTCACTACAACGCAAGGAAGAAGACTATATAATTATTGTGTTCAGCATGCGAACATCATATGGTCTTCACCTCGGGTTCCTGCACTGGGGTTGAAAGCTGTTCCCAAGGCTAACGCGTGTTTTTCAAGGTTGTCTGCTGACAAGGCTAAGGAGTTCTCTAAGGTTATCTCGCAGCCATTCTCTACTGGTCCTGCAGATAATGTTTATCGTCATGACCCAGAAGTTCTCTCTTCGGCTGCACAACACCTGGGACAAGAGCAATGGCCCGACATTATCAGCATTGCACTACTTATTGTGGAGGTGCTCAGACTCCCGGCTCATCTTTTCAGTCAGCCGTTCCACTCAGGCTTATGGCCGGTTTTTTGTCATCATTGCACAATGCCGCCAAAGAACTCCCGCGCTAAGACTACAGCTGAAGCGGTTCCTGATAATGCTGCTGGTAGTGCTGATCCTGCAAGCAAGACACCGGGGAAACTGTCAGATCTGACCAAGGCTTTGCCTACGGAAGCGGAAGTGACTGCAGGCAGCTCGGGGCTGTCTATCGAAGAGAAGCTGAAAGCGATGGCAACTGTTGTGCCTGACGAGTCTTTTATCGAAGATGACTCTGATGAGGAGCTGGAGTCTGACGCAACAAAGGACAGCGTCTCTCGTCTCCGCTTCACAGCCATTCTGCTTCTGCCGGTCATTCTCTCGCAGGAAATCAAATCGGTCATCCTTACCGTGCGAACGTTAATGAAGCGGGTTTGGTCGAACATTCTTACTGACGATGTGCTCACCACGGTGAAATTTCAGGAGCTGCTACCTGCTTATGTTGCGAAGACGCGTTACTGCAGGATTCAAGTGTCGTTCCTGCATGAGGCTGATGCGATTAACATAAGACAGACGGAGGTGGATTATCAGCGGTCAAGCGGGTCAGCGGTCATTCAGTGTTTTTGGCTTCATCAGGAGGATGCTGCTTACCTCCGTATGAAGGCTTCAAACCCGAACGTCCTGGAGGTTTATTTCAAGGGTGTGCCCGCGGATATCCCACCGGAGCTGGTCAGGGAGGTGATGGTGGATCGGCCGCTCCGGATGAGAAAGCAGTCAGCGTTCAGCAAAGGCAGCTGCTTCCACCGTGTGCTTCACCCGGTTACTGGTGCTGACACTGATGTCATCAAAGGCTTGGTTGCTCTGCACGCAAATGACAAACACCGCTGGCGCCATGAGTTTCGTCACCCGTCGCTTGGTGGAACGGTGCTGTTGGCCCACTACCCCTTGCTATCTTGCTCGCTCTGCGGTGGTCATCATTATGACAAATATCATGATGTGTTCATCGCGGAACGGCAAAATAACATAGGGAAGTGGAGTCTAGCTGTGGGAAGGGTGCACAGGATCAACGGTAACAGAGCTTCACGATTTCATTGACAAAAGTCTTATTGTTTACTCACCTCTTTTAGTCACTGACTTGTCGCTCGTCTCTCGCAGCTGCTTCTCTTCGCACTTCTCCGCTAGTTACGCCGCTCCTCATGGATCCTGCTCTTGTGCTCATCTCCACCGGTAGCAATAGGGAAGAGTGGCTATGCACTCAGACCAGCTGCGGGAAGACTCATGGGAAAGCTTTCAGGGCAGCTGCAGAGCACATCACCTCTGCACGGCATCTGCTGGGACTGGAGGAGCTCGGCGCTGCAACCCGTCGCTCTCTCGAGAAGCCGAACCTCAGTGTGATACGCAAGGATTACGGGATCTGACGCTATGCCGACTTCAGACCAGTTGTGCAGTTGAAGCCGGAATCTCCTCTGTTGTTGCAGTAGCTTGTTTCATCAGCCTGTGGATGCGTAGAGGCTTTATGGCAGTAGTTAAATGAGTACGAAAAAATTCATCACGGTTGCAGGCCTGAACGTTAACGGCCTGGGGAATGGCACCAAACAACAACGCACTAAAGACTGGATCAGACAAGCAGCAGACATCATTATTCTCTCAGACACTAGACTAACAGCTGATCACCCCTTCTGGACTTCTCTTCATGTACAGACTGTTCTTACCGCTCCACCTACCGCGAAGGCTGGGGGGGTCTCTCTCATCTGCCGTAGACCGGGTCTTACGCTGCATAATGCCCTGATTCACCCCTCCGGACGGTTGGTTGCAGCTGACCTCCGTCATGACTCCTTTCATCTCACCTTAGTAGCCGTTTACTTCCCTGCTGATGTCGCGGATAGGAAAAGCTTCATTCGCAGAGTCTTGGGTCCGACAGTTGACGCGCTACAGCGTGGTAATCATCTGCTCATTCTGGGAGACATGAACCTGGTAGAAGATCCGCTGTTAGACAGATCATCCAAGAAGGGTACGACGCTGGAGAATGATATGCTTTATCAGCGCTGCTGCAACTTTCGTCTCTCGGATGCCTTCCGGGCTCTACACCCATACAAGAGAGAGTATACCTTTTACTCCTGCGCAAATCAATCCAGCTCTCGCATAGATCGCGCGCTCATCTCGCAATCGCTGCTCTCGCACTTAGAACTTGCCTCGCACATCATGCCGGCTGACCCCATCTCTGACCATAGCTTTGCAGTCAGGGTGGCCTTTCGGATGAAGACGAAAGTTCAGGCTGGTCCAGGGCTATGGCGCCTGCCTGCTCACATGATTGGGAAGCCGGGGGTACGGAAGATTATTGAGGTGGTGGAAACTCAGGCTGCGAAGCATGGTGACTCCTTCGAGCTGCTGATTTCCTGTCTTAACGCCGGACTTAAGGCATATGCGAAGGAAGAAAGAAAGCGTATCCGGGCGACGATACAGCACCTTCAATGCGCGGTGGCATCCTTAAAGCAGGCCTGGATGCGGGACCCGAGCTGTGACAGAACTAAGAAGCTGCTGGGTGAGCGGGAGCTCCAACTTAAAAGTTACCAACAGGTGCGGCAGGAACGACTTCATGAGATGGCTGGGCTGGAGGCGGAGGTTAAGGGAGAAATTACGTCGCCTTACCTGTCAGCAAGAGTCAAAGCTCGCAAGGCAGACACGCAGATCACAGAGTTAAGCGTGGCGGGGGGTGTGGTCGGCAGTAACCAGGACATCCTACGGGAAGCTTCACATTTTTTCAAAGGAATATTTGGGGCCGACAAGCAAAGTACGGTGTCAGATTGGTCTCCAGAGGCTGACAAGACCTTGTCCTAGGCTGCCGTGGTGTCACTTGAAGCGGATTGGTCGGAGGATGAGGTGAAGCGGGCCTTCCGTTCGTTGGCAAACAATAAAGCCCCCGGGAAGGACGGGCTTCCGAAGGAGCTGTTTGAGGCGCACTGGGACGTGTTGGGGAAGCATTTCATGAAGCTGGTTGCAGACTTCTCGGAGTCCGCGGTGCTCCCCACCAGTACGAAGGACGCCGTTACTATCCTGCTTCACAAAAAAGGGGGGAGAGATCGGATTGAGAACTACAGGCCGATCACTCTACTCAGCTCGGTCTACAAGGTGCTGGCGCGGGTCGTGGCTGACAGGATTAAAAAAGTGCTGCATGAGGTGATATCGACGGAGCAATATGGGTTCTTACTGGGCAGGCGTCTTTCGGATGCGGTCGGCCTGGTAGCTGATGTCATCGAAGCCGCTAAGCATAAAGATGAAGACTGGTACATCTTGCTCGTCGATTTTAAGAAGGCCTTCGATTCCGTCTCGAGAAGTTTCTTGTTCGGTGTTTTGGAGAAAATAGGCTTTCCCCACCGCTTCATTCGCTGGATACAGGGCCTGCATGAAAACACCACGACGAGCCTGTTAATCAATGGTTGGATGGGCGACGCTGTGGAGGTAGTGTCTGGAGTAAGGCAGGGGTGTCCACTAGCCCCGTACCTGTTTCTGTGCGCAGTGGAGCCGTTGGCGCAGGAAGCGGCGAGTCGGAATTTGGGGCTCACAGGAGAAGGGCGTCGTCTGGCGTATCTGGGATATGCTGACGACACCACCCTGCTTCTGGAAGGGGATGCTCAGATTGAGGAGGCTGAAAAACTCTTGGAAAAATTCGAGGGGGACTCGGGCTTGGCTACCAACAAGGGGAAGTCGGTGGTCCTGCAACTGGGGAAGAACCTGAACAAGCAGCCGTGGAAAACGGATGGCTTTAAGTGGGCGAAAGCAGATGATGCGGAGCGTCTGCTGGGTGTGTGGGTGACCCCAGCTGGAAGCTGTGAGCCAACGTGGGAGAGGGCCTTCGCGCAGATTAAGGAGAAGCTAATACTGTGGGAAGCGCAGCACCTCACAACCGGGGCGAGAGCAGCTGTCATTAACCGCTATATCTCACCGATAGTCTTCTTTCAGGCGCAAATATATCCTCCACATGTGGGGATCTGGGGGAGAATCATCAAGCTGGTGCATAATTTCATGTCTGGGAACAGGGCCTCTACCGATAAGGGAGCTGCTATATATGTCACGAGAGGATGGGGGAGTTGGTGTGAATGACCTGGGGATCACTCTTACCTGCCTCACGGCCAGACAGATAGGCCTGCTTCTCACCGAGACGGACGCGCTGAAAAAAGACATCATGCTAAAAGCTGCGGACCTGCCACTAGGGACTGACTCGTTCGTGGCGCACGTGAAGCTGCTGAAGCAGTGGCGTGGGAAGAGCGAGAGGTGGAAGCTGGCATGCAGTAACTTCATGCAATCACCACTGGCTGACATGTCCTGGGAGCTGACAAGTGAAGAGGTGACAGAGGAGCGAATAGTCTTTAATCGCCGCATCTTACTCAACGGCAGAACACCGGTGGGGGGACAGAAAGCTGCGGCGAAGCTGTGGGAGGTCCGTCTACGTGATCTGCTGACGGCGGACGGCGTGAGAGGCTGGAGGGTCAAGGACTCTGTAATCCTCGCAAAGGATCTGAAGGGGAAAGCTGAGGCGAAGCTAGCACTGCGGGCTTGGGAGGCAGTTCCGCAAGAGTGGAAATTGCTACTCCTCTCTGCCGAGCTTTCACCCCCAGCCTGCTCTGCATCGAAACCCTCTCTGCTTCGGACAAAAGTTTTTAAGGATGGGCAGCTGCTGTCGATGAAAGAAATGAAGAAGGGCTGTCGGCTGGCAAAACGGCCCTCAACTAAAAGGGAGAAGTGGGCGAGCAGGTGGGGTGGAAGCATCGACTGGAAGAGTGTTATAAAACCCGCGACTCTCTAGTGACTCCCAGCAGACCAAGGGACGTGCTGCTGAGGATCCACAGCCTTAATTTACAGGTGGGGGAGAGGGTATCCTCCTTAAGCAGCAACCCGGTCTGCCCGCACTGTGGGGAAACGGAAACTCTGGAGCACTGCCTGTTCGCATGCGCCTGCGCCTGTGCAGTCAAGACGGCTCTGCGCCTGCTGAACCCCCAGAGGAAGGTGGCGGATCTTGGGGACCTGCTGTTTGGCAAAGCAGCCACCCCCTCGGCTTTTCCAGAGGCTTCGCTGGTGGCCATCGCGCTTCACCAAGTCTGGGTGGAGAGGTGTGAATGTGTCTTCCGTGGGCGGAGATTCCGAGCGAGACGTGTCCTAAGAAAAATCGGGGTGGCGTTTCGCCTGCATGTGAAGGTGTACAGCAGAGCTACAGGACAGAAACCTGGCAAGAAGGGGGGCCAGAAGCAGCCAAACGGTTTGTATGTGCTGGCGGAGCAGGAACAGCGAACTCTTAACCGCATCCGGTTGCTGGAGGGCAAAAGCTGGAAGTGGACCCATACTTTTGGCGCGCTATGGAACTTGGCACGGGGGGCACTACATCCGACTTAGTAGGTTTATCTCTGAGGCTAGTCGTTTGGCTAGGCCTCTCACGCTCAGTTACGACTGATGTATGTTAGCTTGCACTTGTATCACCGGTGTATAGTTTCTATATTCCACCAAAAAAAAAAAAAAAAAAAAAAAACCACCTGGGCAACTGTCGCACTCCTCCGCAAAACCCCGTCGCCCGAGAAACCTGGTTGACCGGGCAACCACATCAACCAGCTCCTTCTCCTTGTACCCGTCGACCACCCAGTTCGACGGCCACCATCGGTCGACCACACTCCAGGTTAACAAGCTCCAGTTCGACCAGCCCAGCTATCAGCCGACCACACCAAGTTGGATTCTCAAGGTCGGCGTCACCAAGTCGACGCCCTCCCAGGTCGACCTCCCAAGTCGACCTCCCGAAGCCGGCGCCCTCCCAAAGTCGTCGCCCTGCCCAGGTCGATGTCTCCCCCCCTCGACCACCTGGTTGAAGTCGGTCGCCGGCACCCCAAAGTCGGCGGCATCGTAGTGGCCCCGTGCAGGTCGACCAGACCCATCGACCAGCTTGCCCAAGTTGGCATCGCCCACTGCTGCAAATCGGTTGCGCCTCCCGCACACCCGACCACGAAGTCGGCTCCGCCCAAGCAAGGACGGGGCCAACACACAACTCCTGTTGACACAACCGGCATGTTGGTCGAATAGACCGGTTGGACAAACCGGTTGGTCCAATGGACCGGTTGGACCAACTAGCCTGTTGGTCCAATGGACCTGTCGGACCATTGATTCAATGGACCAGTTGGACCAATTGGCGTGTTGGTCAGATGGAACTGTTGGACCAACTGGCCTATTGGTCCAATGGACCGGTTGGACGAGCTGGCCTGTTGGTTCAATGGACCTGTTGGACCAACTATCGTATTGGTCCAATGGACCAGTTGGACCAACTAGCTAGTTCGTCCAATGGGCCGGTTGGACCAACTAGCAAGTTCGTTCAATGAACCCGTTGGACCAACTGCCGTATTGGTTCAATGGACCGGTTGGACTAAGGGGCCTGTTGGTCCAATGGACCGGTTGGATCAACAGAACTGTTGTACAAACTACATTATTGGTTCAATGGACTGGTTGGACCAACCGGCGTGTTGGTCGAATAGACCGATAAGATCAACTGGCCTGTTCGTAGAATAGACTTGTTGGACCAACTGCCTGTTGGTCCAATGGAACATTTGGACCAACTTAAATGTTGGTCCAATGGACCTATTGGACCAACAATCTTATTGGTCCAATGGAACAGTTGGACCAACCATTCATTTGGTCTAATGGGCCCGTTGGACCAACCAACCTGTTGTTCCAGTGGACTAGTTGGACCAACTTCTGTATTGGTCTAATGGATCAGTTGGACTAACTGTTCGAGTTATCAAGTGGGCCGGTTGGACCTACTAGCCTGTTGGACCAACTGTCGTATTGGTCTAATGGACATGTTTTACCAACCAGCTAATTGGTCCAACGGACCGATTGGTCCAACCGGCTTGTTGGTGTAATGGACTGGTTGAACTAACCGGCCAGTTGATCCAATCAACCGGTTGGACCAACCGACGTGGTTGATCGAATTGTCATATTGGACCAACGAGATTGTTTGTCCAATGGACCTGTTGGGACAATAGCCGCGTTGATCCAATAGACCGGTTGGACCTATGGGTCGGTTGTTCCAATGGACCCGGTGGACCAACCGGCCTGTTTGTCCAATGTCCCGGTTGGACCAACTAGCCTGTTGATCTAATGGACCTGTTGGACCAACTACCGTATTGGTGAGATGGATTGGTTGAACCAACTGGCCTGTTCGTCCAATGGACCAGTCTGATGAACCAACTGGCCTGTTGGTCCAATGGACTGGTTGGACCAACTGGCCTGTTGGTCCAATGGACCAATTGGAACAACTAGCCTATTGGTCGAATATACCTATTGGACAAATTGCCGCGTTGGTCCAATAGACTGGTTGGACCAACGGGCCGGTTGTTCCAATGGTCCGGTTGGACTAACTGGCCTGTTGGTCCAGTGGACCGGGTGGACCAACCGGCCTGTTGGTCCAATAAACATGTTGGACCAACTGTCGTATTGGTCTAATGAGCGGTTGGACCAACAGGCTGCATTGGTTCAATGGACCGGTTGGCCCAACTAGCTTGTTGGTCGAATGGACCTGTTGGACCAACTACCGTATTCGTTAAATGGATTGGTTGGATCAACAGATCTGTTGGTCCCATGGAACGGGTGGACCAACTAGCATGTTGGTTCAATGGACCGGTTGGACCTAGACAGTTAGTCTAATGGACCAATCAGACCATTGGTTCAATGGACCAATTGGACCAAATATGGTACTGGTTTAATGGGCTGCATTGACCAACTGACCTGTTGGTCTAATGGACCAGTTGAAGTTACTAGTATGCTGGCCAAATAAACCTATTGCACCAACTATCGTATAGGTTCAACGGACCGGTTGGACCATCCGGCGTGTTGGTGAATAGACCGATTCGATCAACCGGCCTTTTAGTCCAATTGACTTGTTGGACAAACTGCCTGTTGGTCCATTGGACCAACAGGCCTATTGGAATAATGAGCCTATTGGACCAACTATCGTATTGGTCCAATGGAACAGTTGGGACAACCGCCCAGTTGGTCCAATGGACCGGATGGACCAACCAGCCTGTTGGTCCAGTGGACAAGTTGGACCAACTAGATCCTATTGGTGCAATTGACAGGTTGGACCAACTAGACTGTTAGTCCAATGAACCTGTTGGACCAACTGTCGTATTGGTCTAATGGGCGGTTGGACCAACCCGCTGCATTGGTCCAACGGACCGGTTGGATCAACCGGCCTGTTAGTTTAATGGACCGGTTGGATCAACCAGCCAGTTGGTCCAATGGACCAGTTGGACCAACTAGCCTGTTGGTCCAATGGACCTGTTGGACCAACAGCCGTATTAATCCAATGGACCGGTTGGACCAACTAGCTTGTTGGTGTCATGGACCTGTTGGACCAACTACCGTATTGGATTAATAGATTGGTTAGACCAACAAACGTGTTGGTCTAATGGACCCATTGGACAAACCAGCCTATTGGTCCAATGGGTCAGGTGGACGAACCGGCCTGTTGGTCGAATGGACCGGTTGGACCAACTAGACGGTTGGTCCAATGGACCTATCGGACCATTGGTTCAATGGACCGGTTGGACCGACCGGGTTGTTGGTCGAATCGACCTCTTGGACCAACCGGCCTATTGGTCCAATTGATAGATTGGACAAACCAGCTTGTTGGTCCAATGACTAGTTGGACCAACTGCCGTGTTGATCCAATGGGCCGCTTGGACAAACCGGCCTGTTGGCAAATGGACCGGTTGTACCAATCGGCCTGTTGGTCCATTAGACCGGTTGAACTTACTTGCCTGTTGGTCCGATGGACCTATTGGACCAACTATCGTATTGGTCCAATGGAACAGTTGGACGAACCTCCTCGTTAGTCCAATGGGCCGGTGGGACCAACAAACCTGTTGGTCTAGTGAACCTGTTGGACGAACTGTTATATTTGTCTGGATCAGTTGGACTGACCAGCCACTTGGTCCAATGGGCCGGTTGGACCTACTAGCCAGTTGGTCCAATGAACAAGTTAGACCAAGTGTCGCATTGGCCCAACTAGCCTGTTGGTCCTGTGGACTTGTTGGACCAACTACTATTTTGGTTCAATGGACCGG